TATGTCTATTAGTGCGATAATCACCGGTGATGGAAATTCGAAATGAATGATAGATGAAAAAAAATAAAAATGACTTTAATTCTGATCGCTGATTGCTTGACGTTGTTTGAGGTTAACCGCTAACTTTAAACCATAGCCAAATTTTTATTAATATTTTCAAGGTGCTCCTTAGCCTTTATACGTAATGTGGCTATCGAGTTTGTACGTATGTCTGTCGTTTGTGGCTGCACTGTAACGCTGGAATTTGTAATGGTGTTGGTTGTTGTTGTGGTTGACACCGTTGCACCCATATTTAAAGGACTTTCTCGTCCTACATCTAATACTTCTATGGAGGTAGAGAGACTTTTGTCCGCATTAGAGTTTTCTGCATCTTCTGCGTTATTCGACTCGTTAAGGTGACTAATTGTCGATGAAATCATGGTAGCGCTGGAGGCGGAAAGATTTTGCGGTGACGGTGCTGAAGTTGATAAATTGGCCATAGGCGAATTGTTTTGATTGCTGTTGGGCGGTGTTAAGGGTGTATTCGAATTTGAAGAGCTGATTAAAGCGCTAGAACTCATTGGTGTGGTAGCCATTGTGGCTAAGTTTTGTGGTGACATACGCGATAAATGTGGCGACAAATGTGCTAATGAAACATGTGTATGACCGGGATGCGGAGGTCCCGAACCCAAAGGCGAAGGTGGCGGATGACCGGGTGGTGGTGGTGGTCCATGAGGGCCCATACTAGCCAATGTACTCATTGAAAGTCCAGTAGGGGCCAAACTTAGCGGTGGTGTTAGATAACTAGGGTAAACGGTCTGAGGGTGTGAAAGAAAACCTAAGAGAGTAGCTAAGAAAATAAATAAAATTTTTAAAATTTGCACTTTGTTATGAACACACCTGGTAAGGCTGAAAGCAATGGCGGTGACAGCCACGGATCTACGGACAGGCCCGCAGGCCCGCATCCTAAACGATGAGGCAGTTGCGTGAAGTGAGTTAAACCCAAACGCAGACTCTCCGATTTCTCTTGGCGTCGCCATTTTGCTCGACGATTTTGAAACCATACCTGGAAAATATAGGAAAGTTTACATCAAATTTCATTTTCTTTTCACGTATTAAAACTTTCAATTAAATTGCGGATGATAACGCCACTAATGTTATTATTTATGTTGTACAGTGACACATAGTTTTCATCATTTATTATTATTAGTCTGCATAACCTGAAGCAGTAATTAGTTTAACGAACGAAAAAATTAATTAAACTTGGAGCAAAAACAACAACATCAGCATTGACAGTTTAAAATTCTGCAATGCAATGTTTCAAAGGGACAGAATGGGGGGAGGGCGATACGAGATACGTAAACCGCAAGCAAATCAAACTTAAAGTCATTTAAGAAAAGGATAAAACAAAAAATAACCATTAAGTTAGTGTTTATAGTGCATAGCAGAGAGTAGCAACACACAATAACTGCATAAAAGAGAGAGAAAGAGAGAATAAAGAGAGAGACAGACAGAGAGAGAGAGAGAGAGAGAGAGCTAGAGAGATAGACAGGATAGAGAGACGAACACAAGAAAATTAAGTGAAATAAAACTCTGAAATATAATTACAGCTAAATGAATGGCTTTAATTACGACACTAAAACAACACACAAAGACTCAGCATTCAATTACGTGCATACAGCAACAAAATGGCGGCATCCAACAAACGCTTGCACTAACACTAAACGACATTAATCAAATAAATAACCAGCTTTATCTCTCTAACAAAAACTCATTAGTAGAAAACAGTTTAGACATGAGAATGAACCGTAAAGAGAGAGAGAGAGAGAGAGAGAGAGAGAAAGAGAAAGGCAGACACAGAGTGTAAGAGAGAGAGGGAAAAGTGAAGGAGAGGAAAACTAAATGACTGAATTGGTAAGCAAAGGGAATGATAAAATTCAATTAGTGTTCTTCAGGCTGTCTAATTAGAATTATCGTACACAACACTAACCCATGCAGCCATGCACACATATACATACTAACGCTTCTATCTCGTACTCCCCATAAACAAAAGATGATGATGGCGATGATAACTAAGCAGTTAGTGAAGCTTCATTACAAGAACTTAAAAAGATAAAAACGCGAGAAGTGGAATCGAGGGTGCGAATACCATATATCTATATGTATAACTGTGTATGTATACAACTGGCGAATGTTATAAACCTCGATATTAAATATATGACAGCCAGACTAAATGAGTTCATAATTGTGAGGTAATTCATTTTGTGAAATCCAATTTATTGAGTAAATGGTTTAAAGCAAAAAATGGAGGAGAAACAACAAGCTTCAAGTGGTTTACAGTAAAGTATGAGAGAAAAAAAATTATGCTATAGAAGTTAACGATGAGATAATTTATCTCTACATATTCATGTACGTATGTACGAATGCATCTCTCCCTGTCTCTGTTTGTCAATGTGGTTGTTCGTCTCATTTTGCTAGTAATTAAATACAATTTGCACAAATTAATTGCAAATGATTACATTTTGATGGAAATTTCTGGTTTTTATAGTTGTTGTTGCCCTTGTTTTGCGCATGTATTACAGAGGAATGAGTATATAATGAAAATAGTATGTGAGGAATATTGAGGTATATGGTACAACGATGTGAATTTAAGTAGTGAAGCCATAGGTGAAAATTGTGGTCGATTTTTGTCTAAAGGAACCTTCTCTGATCATTGCATTACGTTATTTTCAATTTTTAAAGCAAACGTCGAAAGATGTTTTTTCATCGATATTTTGATGAAAATTTTATACGATGGGAGTCATATATTGATGGAGATTGCCTTTGCTTTAATGTCACTATTTGGTAGGATAGGACATACAGACGGACACGACCTACCGCTAAATATCCCTTTCCACGTAGCAGAAATGCTTCTTTATTGAAAGGCTGTCCATCGAAGCTATTAAGCGAAATTCAAAACTTAACTATTATAAATTTTCCGCGAATGTCGGATTATGCATTAAGAGGGGAAACGATTGTAACAGACTAAAAAAGATGATGTTTGGACAGTTTCTTGGGATGGAAATAAAGAACCAAGTTTTGTTTTTTGTAAAACAGTGGCTTTTTCCCTTAAGCAAGGTAGCTCAGAGTATTCTTTTCACTATGCTATATTTACTTTTTCGCGAGTCGGGAGATTATATTGTCGCGTTGAAAACCCTGCTTGAGAATGTTAGCTTCTCCTTTTTCGGCTTAACAATGTTCAGAGATACCCAGCCCAGCATCGACATTCAAAACTCACCTATTACGACAATATTTGCTTCAATATTCCCTTCTGTCGGATTAGTAACGAAATCTTATAGAAAACTTTTTCATATTGAATTCAATTTTTCACTTTTTGAATATTCTTTACATTTGATTCGTGACTTGGTGATAGCTTACGAAAGGTGCCGCGGCACAATTTCAATCAAGCAATGTTTCAAACAATATAAAACAAAGTTAAGAGTTCCCGATTAAATGATAGGTATTCAAAACAAATGGTAGGAACTTCAAAACAAAGTAGAAAAACTCTTATAACTTAACTCTGGAAAGAGACGAATAAAAATTAAAAATATCTGTGAAATTTGCCATAATTTGCACGACCGTCTTTTAAATCAATTCCTTGACTTGTTTGTGATTTATGAAAATAAAATATAAGCATCATGTAAAAGCTCTCTTTGCACGGGAAGAAATTTGACGTGATATATCGATAAATGTGATTCAAATTTGTTCGATCAAGTTTATTGGTCAAATTTTTATTTCTATCCTCCTTTCATGCATTTTTTTGACTGAAATTGATTTGGGGGAGGATACAAAAAATGCTCCAATCTTGTCAAGACTTTGAACTTACTAAGCTAAAATATTAGTAGTTTAGAAATACACATGGAATGTTTTTGTGACATCAGTAGTTATTGAAATTAAGGCATCATATGGGAAGTGGTTGTAAAAATGTTTCCATTCGGATCATTGTCAATAGGGTGTATTCTTGGATCGAAGAAGGTAAGTGTACCAGACTGTGTCAATGCGAGGTGGCACACTTACCTACATAGATACGCATAAGATCGACAGACGGATAGGTGGAAAAAGAAACTAATTCTGTTAGGTGCACATAACAATACTTGATCAAATATCAGATAAACAGATGGATAGATAAGTTTTTAATTTCTGAGTAGATTGATATAATAAATTATGTGTCCGTCTTAAGTCTTTCGGGGCACAGCAATATACTTGCAACATACTATATTACTTATCTTAATATATCAATCAGCACAAGATGGTATAATCAAGATTTATAGCATAAAATATAATAAAATTTCATTTCTATTTGTGTTTTCGAATTTTCTGAAATATTTTCCTTCAAAAATTTTACTGAAAATACGTTAAAGTTTCCACCACTCCAAGAAATACTGACAATATTAATTAAATATTTATCGTTGTTGTTGTTGTTGTTTTAGCTACCATTGCATGCTAAAAAGAGAGAAGAGAGCATCTCTTCATTTTAATTAAATCATCAAAAATCAATTTTGTTATTTCCATTGAGATGGCGCGTCATAAAAACGTTTAAACCCCATAAACCACACAAAGTGCACACAGACGTATATACGCACAGTTTAATAAATAATAAACGACCTGCGTTTACTCATATATAACGTTTTAATAGAAAACGCCCACTGAATTGTTTCATTCCACTCAGCTGCCATCACCATATTTAACTATGCAGAGCTGAGCATTCAATTAAGCTCTTTTAGCTTTGATCGTTAGTTGAGGCACAAAAACAGAAAAAAATATACGAAAAAAAAAAAGGAAGGAACTCAACAAACAAAACCTTATCTTATCCCATTCTTTTGGCCTCCCTCAGTGGTCTTCATTATGGCAATAATATTCTGCCGTCTTCTATTCAAGTGTCATCAACCACTTTTCAGGTTTAATCTCTTCCATAAACTTTAGCGGGTTGCTTGAGATGGTGGAAAGAAGTCATAAGCATACACACATACGCACACCCACATACAACCAAATTGCTCTTAGGAAAACAAGTAATGATTTGTACAAAATTTCAAGGCTCGCACACAGTGTGCAAGAAAAGTTGAAAGGATGTTTTGTGAAAGGCGATGGAAGGAGAAGTGGATAGAAGTTGCTGTGGGTTGTGCTGTTATTGTCTTATGCTGTTAACTTTTACTCTCTCCTATTGTTGTATCACAATCCAAAGATGGTAGAGTTTTTTATTGAAAAACTTTGTATTGCCTACAAACAGTCGGTCTGTCAGGCAGATAGGAATACGCAAGCAAATCAGCTCAACACCCACTTTAAAGAACACAATTTTGCTCGCACGAATACATTTATAAGCCTACGCTTTACGTACACCGATGCTATTAACTACGCACGCTCACTTTATTTTTTTTTTTATATAGACGCACACCTTACCGGGCTTACAAGCTCAGCAACTAATAGTCGATTGTTTATTAACTCAAGAGTAAGCAGAAGCAACAGAAAAGCTTATGAAAAAAGAAAAAATAGAACATGGCACCAAATTGCTTTTGAGAATGTTTCTGACAGTTTGCAAATTGGAAAATTGACTTTTAACTTGAAAGCACACACAAGCATGCACACATCGCAGTGTGTATATGTAAACATAGAACACATAGCGTACATTATACTAATCTCCGAGAAAAGAATTCATTTTTGTTTAGAAACTAACACAAAGATAAACTGTGTACATAGCATATACTTATAAGTTTTTTTTTATTGTTTATACGTTTATAGATGTATATGTTTTCAAACATAAAATATTCCTTTTTTGCCCAAAGTTTTCTTAATTTCATACCAAAAACATCGTTGTGTTTGGCGAACAAAGTGTTTCACGTATTAGGGTCAATGTGAAATTTTTGTTTTTCTTTTCTTTGCCTATGAAAATGGGTCGTACTTTAGAATATTGCGACTAGTAAAGCAATATGGGAATCTTTGGCTAAAGATAAACTTTTAATATAAATTCAAATTTACTTTAATTTATGCAAACAATTATTCATTGATTTAAGCAACTTTTAATGTTCAATA